AATTAACCATGGCCCCCCCCACACGCCGAATATCAATTTATGATAGCATAAATTGTTCTCCGAGTTTTGCACCATAAATATTAAATTTTGCACCGCAACCCTTAGACCAGGGGGTTGAAAGAGAAATAGTTGGCCCCCCCCACACGCCAAATTTCAATTTAAAATAGCAGAAATTGTTCTCCGAGTTTTGCACCATTTTGCACCATAAATATTGAATTTTGCACCGCAACCCTTAGACCTCTACAGGGGATTGAAAGAGAAATAGTTGCCCCCCCCCCACACGCCAAATTTCAATTTAAAATAGCGGAAATTGTTCTCCGAGTTTTGCACCATTTTGCACCATAAATATTGAATTTTGCACCGCAACCCTTAGACCTCTACAGGGGGTTCAAAGAGAAATAGTTGGCCCCCCCACACGCCAAATTTCAATTTAAAATAGCATAAATTGTTCTCCGTGTTTTGCACCATAAATATTAAATTTTGCACCGCAACCCTTAGACCAGGGGATTGAAAGAGAAATAGTTGCCCCCCCCCCCACACGCCAAATTTCAATTTAAAATAGCAGAAATTGTTCTCCGAGTTTTGCACCATTTTGCACCATAAATATTGAATTTTGCACCGCAACCCTTAGACCTCTACAGGGGATTGAAAGAGAAATAGTTGCCCCCCCCCCCCCCACACGCCAAATTTCAATTTAAAATAGCAGAAATTGTTCTCCGAGTTTTGCACCATTTTGCACCATAAATATTGAATTTTGCACCGCAACCCTTAGACCTCTACAGGGGGTTCAAAGAGAAATAGTTGGCCCCCCCACACGTCAAATTTCAATTTAAAATAGCATAAATTGTTCTCCGTGTTTTGCACCATAAATATTAAATTTTGCACCGCAACCCTTAGACCAGGGGATTGAAAGAGAAATAGTTGCCCCCCCCCCCCCCCCACACGCCAAATTTCAATTTAAAATAGCAGAAATTGTTCTCCGAGTTTTGCACCATTTTGCACCATAAATATTGAATTTTGCACCGCATCCCTTAGACCTCTACAGGGGGTTCAAAGAGAAATAGTTGGCCCCCCCCACACGCCAAATTTCAATTTAAAATAGCATAAATTGTTCTCCGTGTTTTGCACCATAAATATTAAATTTTGCACCGCAACCCTTAGACCTCTACAGGGGGTTGAAAGAGAAATAGTTGCCCCCCCCCCCCACACGCCAAATTTCAATTTAAAATAGCAGAAATTGTTCTCCGAGTTTTGCACCATTTTGCACCATAAATATTGAATTTTGCACCGCAACCCTTAGACCTCTACAGGGGGTTCAAAGAGAAATAGTTGGCCCCCCCACACGCCAAATTTCAATTTAAAATAGCATAAATTGTTCTCCGTGTTTTGCACCATAAATATTAAATTTTGCACCGCAACCCTTAGACCTCTACAGGGGATTGAAAGAGAAATAGTTGCCCCCCCCCCCCCCCACACGCCAAATTTCAATTTAAAATAGCAGAAATTGTTCTCCGAGTTTTGCACCATTTTGCACCATAAATATTGAATTTTGCACCGCAACCCTTAGACCTCTACAGGGGGTTCAAAGAGAAATAGTTGGCCCCCCCACACGCCAAATTTCAATTTAAAATAGCATAAATTGTTCTCCGTGTTTTGCACCATAAATATTAAATTTTGCACCGCAACCCTTAGACCTCTACAGGGGGTTGAAAGAGAAATAGTTGCCCCCCCCCCCCACACGCCAAATTTCAATTTAAAATAGCACAAATTGTTTTCCGAGTTTTGCACCATAAATATTAAATTTTGCACCGCAACCTTTAGGACTCTACAGGGGGTTGAAAGAGACATATTAACTTTGTTCCATCACAGCTGAAAACCCTATACAATTTACCCTCGAATTTACCCAAGGATAATACACACTACACACGGATTGCTTATCGGCCTCTTTTTGGATTTCAAGGTCATCTGGTGTAGCACCAGACAGGCTGTTTGCGCCAGCGGTCGCAATTTAGAATATTAAAGCAGACGCCAGCAGAATTATAGCCCGTGGTGCAAACACCCTACGTCAAGGCAAGTCAAGGCGAGAAACGACACGCTACTACGTCATCACCGATACTTTGGCACTATTTCTCTTTCAACCCCCTGTAGAGGTCTAAGGGTTGCTTTGCAAAATTTAATACTTTGGTGCAAAACTCGGAGAACAATTTGTGCTATTATAAATTGAAATTTGGCGTGGGGGGAAAACTATTTCTCTTTCAACCCCCTGTAGCGGCTTGAGGGTTGCGTGCAAAGTTTAATATTTATGGTGCAAAATCGTGCAATACTCAAGGTGTTCCGTGAGAATTGCACAAATTGTTATTTGTAGTATTGCCCAAATTGTTATTTGTAGTATTGCACAAATAACAAATTGTTATTTGTGCTATTTTAAATTGAAATTTGGCGTGTGGGGGGGGGGGGGGGGGGGG